TAGAAAAATAGCTTATTTAGACATTCCGTTATTGTTCTGGTTGAAATCTGTTTTGCGAGAATTTGATGATATGAGAACCGATTGTATGTGTTGAGCGAAATTAGTTCGGCTTTGTTTGCACCCAGGATGTGTTTTTGGTCGATGATGTTTTCGTATACGTTGCAACAATTATATATAGGGATGGGTCTTTTGAGATCAACAGCGTGCGTTGCAACAATCATATATGGGGATGGATCTTTTGAGACCAATAGTCCAGGGGTTCGTTCCCTTGTTTATTGTTTAGACGACCGCCTATAGGTTTATACGCTGGTATCGGGCACCTGAGACACATTGTTGTTTTGTGCATCGCAATGCTTTAAGAATTCAGATCTCTTCTCCACGCCAACCAAAATTTTGCCGGCCCCCCCGCCCCCACCCATGTCGGCTAGCCCAAAATCCTGTCCGGCGGGCCTTGAAATTTTCGGGGTTTATCGGCGTCCAGCTCCATGAGTCCATTTTTGTCGAAAATGTGCTGACAATTGCGAAAATCACTAAAAAATTGTTTTTTTGTCCTGAAAAGCATAACCTCCTACTGGCCAGGCCTGTCTGACGTGTCTGAGACTAGGCTCATGCCTAGCCCAACCAGCAACCCGCCTGCTGGCCAGGCCTGTCAGCCCAGCCCACCCAGCCCAAGCTTCCAGCCCAACCAGCAACCCCCAAGCACGGCCCCAAGTCATCCAGCAAACCCAGCCCAGCCTGCCCAGCCCAGGCCCCGGCGCATCTCAGAGCATGCCAGTCACTACTCCCAGCCCGCCAGCCCAGCGTGCCAAGGTCAGGTTTATCTAACGTGTCTAGGCCAACGACCAATTTCACGTGTCTTAGGCTATGCCAGCTACTAAGCCTGTCTGACGTGCCCCAGCCCCTCATGCCAGCCCAGGCCGGCCGTCTGAGACTGGCCTCAGGCCAACGACCAGTCTCACGTCTCTGCAACTGGTCTCAAGCTTGACCTCCTGCTCGTGTCTGGCCCCAAGTCATCCAGCAGGCCCAGCCCCTTCGGCGCAGTCTGCGACTGGTTTCAAGGTTTGCCAGCCTGAGACTAGCCTCAGGTCCAATCCCTCAGCCCGCCTGCTGGCGTGTCTGCGACTGGCCTCAGGCCCAGCCCAGCCAGCAACTCGTTACCCAGCCTCAGGCCCAAGTGTGTATGAGACAGGCCTTGCCCATCCAGCGACCCGCCCAAGCACAGCTCAGCCCAGCCCGCCCCGAAGTTCCAGGCGCAACCAACAGCGTAGTCCGGCTGCCCAGCAGAAGGTAGGTTTTTTGTTGCGGTTCTCATCCTGAAGGACCGAAGGATGTGTGTTTAGATGAATCCTTGCTGAAATGAATATTCTTTATGTCCCCCTGTTGGTTTTACAGGGAAACTATCATTATTGAGGATATGTTTCCGGGGTATTTAAGCAAATGGAGGTTTGTATTCCCACCATGTACCTATCTTGGGCTGAGCAACCGCGTAAGAAATGTATGTCATGGCAAGCCGCCAGCCACGTGAAATGGAGGTGCCCAAACACCCAAAGTTGGTCTTGGTTGTTCAATGACACCTATTATTGTTCCCCTTTTTATGGAGGCCAAGCCCATTAAAAATGTTCATCCCCAGAAAGAGGTCCTTTTTTTTCCAAGGGCACTGAGCAGCTGAGATAGTCTTGGTTCTGGATTTCAATCCTTCCGAGCAGGATGACTTCCGAACATCGAACTAGCACGGGCGAACTGGTGCGGTCACAAGCTTTCAGTAGGATTCGGACCTTCCCAACACTGGATTTCGGTGTTCAACAAAGGTAGTCAGGCAGAGGTAAGCAGAGGTAAGCAAAGGCAGACAAAGACAGGTACGAACAAAGGCAGATAATGGCAAACAACAAAAAAATACATAAAGGCAAATAAATAGGAGCAAGCAAGTAGAGGCAAGCAAGTAGAAACAAACAAGCGAACAAGACAAATAACACAAATACAATAAAGAAAATAAAGCAAAACAAGCAATCAGAAACAAAACAAATAAGCAAATAAAACAAACAACATAAATAAGACAAATAAAAAAAGAAAAAGAAATAAACACGAAAAAATAAAGAAGCAGAGGTAAATAAATAGAAACAAATAAGAAAAACAAATAAACATAAACAAGCAATCAAAAGGCAAACAAGCAAAGGTAAATAAGCAAAAGCAAATAAATAAATAAAAATTAATAAACCTATATTTATTATATATATATATATATTGTTTTATTTATTTAATTTTTATTTATATATTATTTTTATTTTATTTTATATATATATATAAAAACAAATAAATAATAACAACCAACGAATAACAAATAACAATAACAAATAAACAATAATAAATAAACAACAATAATTAAATAACAATAAATAAATAACAACAAACAAAAACAAATAAATAATAACAACCAATCAATAACAAATAAACAACAACAAACAAACAACAATACGTAAACAATAATAAATAAACAACAACAAATAAACAACAATAAATAGACAACAACAAATAAATAAAAATAATAGATAACAATAATTAATTTCAAAAATACTAATACATAATTAATAATAAATCATAACACACAAACAATAACTAATACAACAACAAGTAAATAACAACAAACAAACGATAACAAATAATCAATCATACATAATCAATAAAACATAATAAACACGAAATATCAATAAATAAACACAAACAAAGACAACAAATAAACAAACAAAGACAAACAAAAACAAACAAAGATAAACAAAGACAAACAACAATAAACAAAAACACACAGACACACAACAACACACAGACAAACAAAACACACAAACAAACAGACACAAACAGAAACAAACAGAAACAAACGTACAAACAGAAACACACAGACAAACAACAACACACACAGACAGACAAACAAACAAACAGACAAACAAACAGAGACAGAGAGACAAAGAGACAGAGAGACGGAAAGACAGAGAGACAGAGAGACAGAGACACAGAGAGACAGAAAGAGAGAGAAAGGGAGAAAGACAGAGGGAAAGAGGGAAAGAGGGAAAGAGGGAAAGAGGGAAAGAGGGAAAGAGAGAAAGAGAGAAAGAGGGAAAGAGGGAAAGAGGGCAAAGAGACAGAGACAGAGAGAGAGACAGAGAGAGAGAGAGAAAGCAGGAAAGCGGGAAAGCGGGAAAGCGGGAAAGAGGGAAAGACGGAAAGAGGGAAAGAGGGAAAGAGAGAAAGAGGGCAAAGCCCGAAATTTTCGAGAAATTTCGATCCGGACAGGTCCCGCAATTTTCCCGGAAATTTGACCTGTTATTTTTCGGAAAGCCGCCAAATTCTGCGGAAATTTGCGGGGGTAACGTCTGGAGATCTGAGAGCCGGGTCGCCGGAAGCGACCCAAAATTCGGCAAATTTGGCCGGGTTATGCCGCGAGAGCTCTAAGCGAAGATCTGAAGAACCCCCCCAAAATTTCGGCAACATTTCGGGGACTTCCGGGCCGCGCTAAGAGGCAGGAGCTTGTGCCGCGGAGAAAGGACTGGGACGGGCACAGCCGATCGCCGCAAGCACGGCGATTCGGCCGGAGTACCGCTGCAGCGGCTCTGCAGTGCACGGGAAACGCGACCCCGAGGCCGCACCGGTTTATAGGAGAATAATTATATATTAACTAAGTAAATAAATAAATAAATAAATTCTGCCCCAATGGGGGGCCAAAAGCGCCCAAACCTCTAAATCTGTGTTTTTCCAAACATTTTCCGCCCCCCCGTGTCTATCAGCTCCAAATCCTATCCCTCAGGCCTAATTCTTTTAAGAATCGTCAACGTCCAACTCCATAAACATACGCTAAGAATAACAAACACAACAACAATTGTGTTTTTCTCCCGAAAAGCATGACCTCCTACAAACCAAATCTATCTAATATATTCGAAATTAGGCTCAAGCCCAACCAACAACCCAACCAAACAAGCCCAACCCAACTCTATTATAATTATTAAGATTTTCTACACAATTTCCATCCATAACATCCATTACCCCAACACATAACACCACTAACTCTTAGCACCATAATTCATTCCTAATCCTAGCCATCGCCTTGCCCTTACTTCGGAGTATTTCGGCCCATAACATCAATTAATCCAACAATATCACAACCTATCCATGCCTAAATCACAATTTAATCAAATCTACCACCTATATCCATTTCTTTTTCGCCACGTAACCAACTCTACTACTTAAAATCGAACCACAAACACTATATAACATTTATAAATATTTATAATACCCAATATCATTTTTACACTTTATATAATTACTACTAATTCAAAATATATCTAATATTATCGAGATATCTTAAATTATGTTAAAATTAATTTGAAACAATTTAGAGCTAATTAAGGATTGATTTAGGGTCAATTCAAAAAATATGAATATGAGAAGGCCAATATATATATATATATAAATACATATCATCAAATTAATTTATCGATTATTTGAATCGGAGGGGGTTGCATTAGTCAAAACTTGTCAACGACAAGTGATCAAGTCAGAGAACCCAGCCGATGCCACGGCATCTCTCACTGACTTTGGGCATCCGTACCCTCTGCAGCCTGTCCAGACCATCACGTGCCTAGCAAGGCAAACTTCTGCCTGTCTGATCGGGCTTTGTCTCAGAGGGGTTTGAGGGGGCCTCCGTTTCAGGCCCCCAATGTCTCCCAGCTCTCACGACAGGCCAAGGGCTGTCGGTTGATAATGCTGCTTTCACCTCTATACAGCTTTCACGGACTTCGCAGGCCCAGCAAATGAATCAAATCATTCGAAGGCTGGGAAGTCTGACGATCAAGGATACCAGAGATGCAGGCGCTGCGAGCACGCGAAGCCGCAGGGCAGCTAACTGAACAAAGCCTGGAGAAGGCCAGGCACCGCACCTGCTGGCTGAAATGCCAGCGTGCAGGGCCGGCGATTCGCCGATTTTCTTGGAGGATGGGTAAGGCTCAACACTGCAAACATCAAGGGCACATGCCAAGGCCAAACGGCTCCTTCTCCCAGGCTCACTGCTTCAGCTCATGTGGGCCATGGGCATAGGTGCAACTGGCGCCCCTCGTGCAGGTGCCCTGCAGAAAGTAGTTGCCTCGGCCGGAGATCCAAAACAGCCCTTGACCACAGCAAGCCCCCCCCCCCGCAACCAGGGGTGAGGCATGCGCCAGGAAATATACACATCCAAACAGCTCACACTTCAGTGCAGCTTGGAGACACATCACCGTCTTGAACTTGCCGCCAGGCGGGCCGCCGTTCATACCGTTCATGCCACCCAGGGCCATCATGCCTAAATGAACAACGTATTCCCACAGCTGCATGCAAACCATCATCCATAAACACGGTCATTTTCGATTCTCGTCAAAGAAACGTCTGATGTGATTTTGCACTCTATCTCTACAGCTTCGTTCTGCGACTCGTATGGCCAATATCTGCTTCTGTTCCTAATTCAAGCAAACATCATGACATGGCGGATGGCGTGAAGCTCGGCAACCCTTCTGCTGTGTTCAATCATGTGCGTTAGTTTGGATTCCAACTGTCAAACTGTTGTTTCCTAAACCATCATCTCTCCAAAATCCAAAGATCACACCATGTGTAAGAACGTCTGAGGGCGGCCACCGCATTTTTGTAGATGTCTTATAGCACATTGATCATCACTTGTGTATAATGTCATATTAGTTATTCTCAGGAACTAAGGCACACCTCTGCCACCCGTCACGCAGTCTGAATGTTCAAACAAACTGTTCAGGATCTTCCAAGCCTAACACGGTTTCAAATATTCAGGTGCCATTGCTCTGGTTGAAACCACAGCTCATATTAGAATCGGACTGCAATTGCAGACACACACACACACAAACGCTCGGCTGTCATCTGATCTCCCAAAGCCCCTTAGGATAAATATTCAAAACCACAATCAACATCTGAAATGGATCCTTGAATTCCACACCACATCTGGAAAAACGATGCGTAAATCTCAAGCTGCTGGGTCAATTCAGGGCATGGTCACCACCCTACAGCGATTTGTCGCAACCACAGAGAAGGAGTGTCCTCGCAGGTGGACCCAGGGCTGCCTCAAATCCAGGATTGGCGGATTTACTCAGAGCTTTCGCTGCTTTGACGGGGGATCGGAATCAGAACATCGCTCCTATCATCTCCCGCCTCCTTTGCCGCCCATCGCAGGCCCTTTGCCGCCCATCGCAGGCCCTTTGCCGCCGCCGCCTTTGCCCAGCTCCCAAGCGCCGTGCGCAAAGGTGCAGGAGTCCCCGCGCTGGCAGAAGCCCTGACACACGGGTGTGGATGCAGAAGCTGACACCGTGGCGATGAAACAGGGTGTTATTCAAGAGTTACTCGGCTCTCAAATGGACAAGGGTTAGCGCAACTTTCCTGTTTAACCATCCATCCTGGAGACTGAACGGTATGCAGAAACATGCTGGCTTGGTTTTGGCCTGCCTGAGGGCTCTACAGAGCAAGGGTCATGTGCGACTCCATCTGTGATAAGCCATGCTATCTACTTTCAAACGCACAAATAAATACATTCATGTCTCAACATCTTTGACTCTCATGACGCAAGACCACTAGTCTTGCCCGTTCAAAAGCTTCTTCGACGCAGGCGTGTTCCCCTTATAGAAGGAGGTCTGGAGGGAAGCATGTGTTCGTCACATGCGTTGCTGCGTTCGCAAGCGTTTGCCAGCGTTCGGTATGAGTTGCCACGTGTTGTTTTCGTTGCGCCTGTGCGACTTGTAGCTGTTGCGACGTTGCGTGTCGTTTTGCTGCGCAGGAGCATAATATTGGAAGGTTGCACGTGACCGTGTCATTGTGATTTGTGTCTCAGGGATGGTCGTCTGAGGTGTCCTTTTTGGCAGGTGCGTGCAAGCGTTTGCGCGAGCGGCAATTTCGTTGGGCCTATCGTTTGGCAAAATTGGTCGACATCATTTTGGCGTTGCAGTCCCGTGCTAATTTCTGACACGCGTCGCAAACACAACAAATTTCACAACAGGCACAGCGCTTTGGGTGGTTGCACATTGAGTTCCGTGGCAGGCGCACTTTGGAGCACGTCTCACCGGAGCGCTGACTTGCGTGCCAGGCGCAGTACTTTGGAGATATGCAGATTTCTTTTGAGTCGCAGTGGATCGCATGTTGATTTCGTGGCAGGTGCAGCACTTTGGATGGTTGCGCGTTGAATTTCATGGCAGGCGCGGCACATGTCTCATGGGAGCCCGAGCCCGATGTGCTTGGCTGGGGCACTACTTTGGACGGGCATGTGCTCAGAATTGTGGATCACAGTGCTGGTTTCGTGGCCGGCGCAATATTGTGTAGGGTCGCGAGTTGAAATTCGTGACAGGCCCAGAACTTGGGAGCACGACTCGAAGGTTAATGTTCGTGGCGGGAGCAGATAGAAAGGTAGATAGATAGAGAGGCACACCGACACAAGGACAAGTAGCAAGACGGAAAGATAAAACACATGAGGGAGAAGCACATTGGCTGACACAAACATAGATGGATAGATAGGCGCGCAGAAAGACAGATAAAGAAACAAAGAAAGAAATCAATGAATAGAAAGAAATAAAAAACATAAAGACAGAACGAAAAAAAGAAAAAAGAAATAGCAGAACACACCAATTCTGACACTACTTAAACAACAATAGCAAAAGAAGAATGAAAGAAACAAGAAATAAAATAAAGAAGCAAAGAAGGACACAGAGAAAGGAAGGAAGAAAAGAAAACAAGAACATAAATAATAGAAAGTCAGGAATGAAACGGGCAAAGAAATAAAGAAAACAAACATCACCAATACACAAGCATAAAGACAAAACAAGAAATAAAGAAAGAGGACGATAAAGAAATAAAGGAGGAAAGGAACAAATAAATAACAACAAACAATAACTAGAAAGACATAAACAAAGACGCGAAACAAAAACAAAAGACATACCATAAAATAAAGTAACAAACAACAACAGAGCAAAAGCAGAAACAGCAACGCACATAACGTACCAAAAAGCAAGCAATAACTGAGACAGAAATCAAGAAACCAGACAGACATAAATACGTACATACATCAAGAAAGGAAGTGATAAGAAAATGAAAGAACCAACGAGCAAGGGAAAAAAGGCAAGAAATAAATAAACAAAGACAAGACAAGAGAAAAAACAACACAAGCAAAGAAATCGATCAAGCAACAAACATGACACGACAATAAGTAGAATTAAACAAAGCAAGAACAAAAGTAGGAAAAAGGCATAAAGACAGACAAACGGTCAGATAGAGAGACAGAAAAAAAGAAGAAAGAAATAAAGAAATAAAGAAATAAAGACAGAAAGACAGAAAGAAAGAAAGAACGAAAGAAATAAATAATTGAATAAAGAAAGCAACAAGAAATGACGACGAGAAACCAGACGAAATACTAATAAACACATAGACAAACACATGGGCAGACTAGATAGATGGATGGATGAATGGATGGATACATAGTTAGGTAGATAGATAGCTAGACAAATAGAGAAATAGATAGATAGATAGATAGATAGATAGATAGATAGACAGACAGACAGACAGACAGATAGATAGATAGATACATACATAGATAGATAGATAGATAGATTAGATAGATTGGATAGATTCGATAGACTAGATAGATTAGATAGATTGGATAGATTAGATAGATTAGATAGATTGGAGAGATTAGATAGAATAGATAGAATAGATAGAATAGATAGAATAGATAGAATAGAATAGAATAGAATAGAAGAGAACATACCATAATAGAATGAATAGATAGATAGATAGATAGATAGATAGATGGATAGATAGATAGGTAGGTAGGTAGCTAGATATATCGATAGAAAAACATATGGATTAGCTACATAAATACATAGATACATAGATAGATAGATAGATGGATGGATGGATGGATAGATAGATAGATCGACGGAGAAGTGAATAGATGAACAAATGCAAAGATTTCACAAACTGGTAGACAGCTAGACAGATAGATAGGTAGCTAAATAGATGTACAAATAGATGCATGGATGTCGGTTGGAGGAACTTGCCAATACGTCCAAGCACAGCTGCACGAATACCGCTGGCCTGAGTCTCGTAAAACTTGCACATCACCTGAACGACTATTGCAAAAAGCGCACGACTCATTTCAAACACCAAGCCACAGAAAGATGCTCTCTCCTCCTCCGTCCCAAAGTCACACTCGCGCAAAGCAGATATATTATGAGTGGACAGCATGTATGCATGTATCAGCAACAAGCAGGCTCACTTTTTCTTCTTCTTCTCACCACACCCCTCAAAAAACATGTGCTAGCGTCGGCAAGCTTTCTGGAGCTACGTACCTATTACTGCCAAATGGCTGTTTTAAAGCGGCCAGGGTCGTTGAAGCCCTTGCCGCCGCCGCCGCCGCCCTTGCCACCCCAGCCCCAGCCACCTTGGCTGCTCCCAATGCATCGACGTAGCGCACCATTACGAGTACCATTCCGCCACACAAGCACAATATATTGGAATCATTGGCTGATGCCCAAGCATCCAGGTGTTCAATTGAAGGCGAACAGGCAAGGCCAATCATCTTGCCAGTCAGGGTGAACTTCTATCTAGATCTGTGGGGCCCAGACGCTTGTTCGCCTGCCACCCCTCATGACACTGAATAATCTCCAAGGCACCCCATGAGTTCATCATCATGCTCATCATGCCCATCATGCCAGGCATGCCACCCTTCATGGGCATTCCCTTCCTTGGTCAGGGAGAGGTTGCATGTGAGGGGTTGGGGTAGGCTGAAATGGCTGAAACCTGTCCAATAGCCCTGTGCTGTTGGCAGCATAAAGGATGCCGCCAACACATCTCCAAGCGACAACAACCCGCCACTCAAAGACATCAACATAATTATTGCTTGGGCAAGACGGCAAACAACTGGGCATCAAAACCAGTGGTTCTAAGAGCGCCCTAAGATGGCTGCCATACATTTTGCGTTATAACTAAAAGAAAGGCAGGTAGCCATAGGTAGCCCTTTGATCCGTCATGGATACACACCTTGTGACTCTACCGGTTTCCAAAGTTGTGCCCAGGTGCCCCATAGCTTTGCCACCTCCACCTCCAGGCCTTTGAGCTCGAGGTGTGGCAAACACCACCGTCACCGGGCTCGTGAGGTTCTGTGGCACGTTGCCTGACGCTTGAGCAAAGCCTCAACTTATTTTTCAGCCTGAGTCAAACCAAGAGACAGAAGCTCAGCTTTTCACTATCTCTGCGTAAATCTGCTACGCTTGCTGAATGTGTCACTGTAATCAAGGGATCCGAGAACAAGCAACTTTGTTCCGACACGGCACCGTTGACATTCTCGACGATCCACTTCGCATCATCAACGGTTTCCATGATGATGAAGGCTGCCTTTGCTGTCCTCAGCCACACACTTCAGCAGCTATAAAGACGCCTGCGGATCGCAGGGACTCTGTCCAACGTCTGCGATGGACTGGCGCTGTGCCACATGCCAGCACTGTGGTAGACACAGCTGAATTTGCAGCTTGTTGAAACCTCAGTCCCAGGCTTGCCCGCAGCAACGGGGAGCGTCGTCACCTCCTTCACCTTGTTGGCCGTGTTATCCAGCAGCCGTGCGAATCTTGATTTGCGCTCCCATTATGGCACGGCTGGAACGTATGCCAATTTGCAGCTGACACGTGCTGTCATTGTCATCTGAAACAACTCACCTGAAAAGACATCCCACATCCCATTCAGGTCAAGCAACTAAGAATCAGAATGAGCCTCAACTTTGGAAATTTGGAAAGGTCAACAAACTAGCAAAGGCACGAGTCAGGTCCTAGGGTGCTTCCCAAGCCCTGTCAGGAACCAACCGAGGCAGGCACTGTGCCGTACTGTGCAAAAATCTGCTTGCCATACTCGTTGGTACAATCCATTGGCAATCCGGTCCTGGGCGGAGGTTGGGTTGGGGGGTGTACACAACCTTTCCAAGCGCGTGCACGGACGCAAATGTCTGTGCGCACAAGTGGTCCGTGGGTTGTCAGGCGTGCGTGGCTAACGTATTCTGGCCATCCCTGTTCCTGTTGAAAGAGGGCACACTGTGCACGCGGGAGAGTTACAAACCCAAACAAGCTTTAAACTGCAGGGTCAATTTCTTTCAAGTTTGAAAGCGGGCCTCCGTGCTTGCACATGCGATAATTAGGTCTGGGTTTGATTTCAGAAGAACAGGGAAGTGAGGAAGCCGGCAATGATGGCATCACCCATGATGCAAATGGTTTGTTCCTGATCGAGGCCCCCTCCCCTCATTCTTGCATGCTCCCCGCAGGCATCGCCCATAACAGGACAAGGAGGTTTTTCCAAACGGCCTTCGCCTTAGAGTACCCTGCTAGTAGCATCAATTGTCAAGGGGAGACTCGCGCTTCGGTGCGGGCCCCGTGTCCGTTTTCAAATAGCATGTTTCTCGCAAAGTGCATCTCGTCCCGTACGCGCAGCAAAATCAGAGGTTGACAAGAGCATCACGTCAAAGACATCCATTCGCTTCTTTTTCAGGGTCCTTAACATTCGGCTCACCACATGGGTGACGGACGTGGCTCCGGCTTCAGTGCGCTCAGTCAGTTGAAAAGCTCGCTGGTGGCTGGGAGATCTACAAGAAGCTTCTGATGGCTGCCCGGATTGAAGTTTCTGCCAGCGGCATAAACACCCGAATACTTGCCTCGCATGTCAATGATCAATCAATCGAAGGAGCAATGGCACTACCGGCCAATGATGCATTTCCTAAGTAGCCATCTTGGCTTCTGTCCACACTTCCCTCAGTCTTCCTCAGCCCTCCTCTCATGGATTCATTTGATAAATCGACCCACCATTTTGTTCCGTGAAACAATGTGCGCGAATTTGGCTCTTTGCACTCATCAAACTATCCATCGGAGCCTGGCCATTTCGTGACTCTCGTATTCGGCAGGAATGGAGGTACATTTCGGGCATCTTAACATTCACAAACTAGTATCTTCATCAAGCCTCACTGCGGACTCATTTCATATTTCATCATGGTACTTCCCGACTACTGCTCACAGGTCACACACTGTGAAATGCTTCCAAAGACTTTGCAAGCCAGTTTCTCCGTGTGTGTGTGTGTGCGCACTTCGAAAAGACAACTAGTGATTTCAGAGAAACCGTGATGCGCGTGGCGACTATCACAAGATGTTCCAAGCCAAGCGGCACAAAGAGAGTCTCGCTGGGTGGCGGTTCCGGCGCCATCGCTAGGAGTTGTTTTCACTTTTCAAGAAGCAAGATAAGTAAAATCATAAGGCCATGTAGTCTGCAGCTTGTCCGCAAGTATTGGATCATATATGTGAGCAAAGCTGACAGCGAAACGCAATGAATCAGCAAATTGCAAGCTGGAGACCGGCAAACGGCAGTGAAGGCGTAGCGATTTCCTCTGTAACGCAACGCCTATCCCAATTCCACCAGCGCTGATGACAATTGGCTGTGGGTCAAAAAAGGGTACCCAAAATGGAACCAACGACTAAAACCTGCAGTCCTCTGGTGGTGTAATTTTGACCCATACCCAATTGGTATCTCCGAGGCTGCAAATGAATTGCAGTACACTTTGGCGTGCTGCAAGCTCTACAGCAAACATTAACCACATAGAGTGAAGCTTCGAACACTGTGTTCCCTGGCTACATCGTTGTACACTTTCCTCTTCAAACGATTAGCATCCCAGATGATGTCTGCATTCTGCTGCAGTGGCAAGCAGGGTACATTAAGCCTTGGGAACACGTGCACACGCATTGGGCCTTGAGCCGGTTGCGGTTAGCTTGTGGAAAAGCAAGTCTCGTGGGTCGCTTAGATCCAGCTGAAGTGATGACTTGCCCTGGCTCACTTGGCGCGCATGGGCCGGGAGTCAGAAAGACCAAGCCTGATTCGGAGCGATTCTGACAAGTTTGTGAGGCAAACGGCCCGAAGAAATACGTGCGGAGTAGAGAGAGGTAGACCCTGCCACGCTCCCCTCGTCTATCTGGTTGGCCGAGGGCATCTGGAAATTTAGCCCTGACGTATTTAGCGACAGCTACGGGGTCCAAGTGCCTGGGTTCCGGTGGGGATACTAGGACCTTATCGGCCTCACTCTGAAGGCTGGACCTTATTGGCCTCACTCTGAAGGCTGGCCTTGGAAATTTGGAGACCTGATTCGGCAGGTTTGTGCTTGGCTCACTCAAAGTGTGCAGTCCCGCACAAATGGATCAAGACAGGTGACAATCGGAAACACGAATTCTGTTTGGCAAGCCTGCCCAATGCCTGGATGATCTAACCTACTACAACTCGGAAGCTCAAGGTCCCGGTCCAAGCAATACGTTTGTTTAAGGCGTCACAAGCAAGGCTTTGGAGTCAAAAACACCTTGACAGGAAGTCGCTGGCTTTGCCTACACAATTTAAACATATTGCTGGTTAAGCATTATTTGAATAGGCTCTTGTTTGAAGGTTCCCTTGACAGTGAGAAGAACACAAGCTTCACAGATGGCTGTCTCATTGCCTGAACGGGGCTGGTTCAAACTCTCCCTTGACACAACCCGACAAAGGTTTGACACCACTGTGGAAGAAAGGATGCAAACATCGAGGTACCTTGATTTAAACTGTCTGCCTAAAATATAAATCACCCTCAGGGACTGCTTCCGTTTCAGCAAAGTGCGTTGAAATGCCCAACGCGAAATGCTCAACTAGCGGCTTACTTGTGCCCAACCACTGCGGCAAACACCACTCATGCACATGTCTCAAGGCTGACAAAGCACCTGAATCTGGACTTATTCAGACATGTTTACACATCTAAAGTCTTCGCCCTTATGAGCTTGCGAATTATGGGGTACTGCAACTTCCTCTGGGTAGCGTCCTGATGTTACCTAGCCTACAGTTGTTTGAGATTAAAGCTTCACGGACAGGTCGGATGTCTTCAGCTGCTGAGTTCTTAATAGCTCGCACCTAAATCTTCTGCCACCGGCTGAAGGTTGGCAGGGATTGATTGTCATAAGGAACCGGCACATTGCAATTTGAGGCATTGGATCAATTGTACCATTGGAACGGGATGGCCTGACAGCCTATGGGTGCCAGGCCTTCATGCCTTCGCTGAGTTCTCGCAGATCTTCCGCTACTAGCGCCTGAAAGCCACGAATGCAGCCATGCAAAGCCTTCACTCACGCATCTGCACCTCTGACAAACTGTTTTAGCTTGCCGAGCTTAAAAGCTCCATCAGCATAGCTATATGGGTCTTGTTGTAGGGGACCCCCCCCCCAACCAGCTGGTTTTTCTTTGGGCTTCCCCTTCAAAACCTGCCAACTCAAAAAAAGACGAGCCGCCCATATCACCGACTCTCAGGTCACTGCTCATGGCTTTCCCGCGAGCCGCCGCGTGGAGTTTGTGGAGTTCGTGTTGTTCCTTGGCTTCGGGTGGCCCAGGCCGTGAATTCGACGGCTTGGCCGCCGGTTCGGACTGGGCTGAGGTTTGGGCTTTCAGGTTTACAAGTATAGCTCAGATCCAAACCGTGACGCACAGCATTGCTGAAATTGGTACAGCGCATTCTGCAACCAACATGTTGACTCAACTGAAACACATGCCACATCTGTTCTACTGGAAGGCTAATCAAAGGACTTTCGTGGCCAAGAAGTTTCGCCCTCCACAAAGTGGAAACCAAAAGCCCCCCCCTGCCCTCCCGCAAAGACCCGAAGAGAGTGTTGCCATCCAAGAATTAGGGTTCTTGGGGCCCAATGTTCCGCCCGACCTTTTTTTAATAGCCAGCTTTGGGCTGGTCGCACACGCTTGCCTGCGGGCAATACCCATAACCCGAACCCGCCCAACGACCTGAGTTGGGTTCTCCATGCTCCGCTCTCTCCCTTTGTACAGGGCGCCATAGGATACATCCAAAAGCCTGCTCTACAAGGGGATCCTCTACATTATCTTCATTCAAAGCGTTCTATTTGTTCATCAGTAAACCCTTCAAGGAATTTGTTGTAACATAAGCTCAGCCGCAGAAGATGGCACAAGCCGCAGGTCTTGGCACAATACGCCAGCGCTTCCACGGGCATGGCCTGACACCTTACGCCGCTGATAAGGCTCAGGAAGCCGTCCAAGGCATTCGCAGAGGGTCAAGCCAAATGATGCTCTGTGTAATGAAAATACAGAAAAATACACATGCAGGCAAAATATAGGGGTACCTAGAGTGCACATATGTGATATCTGATCAACATCGAACGGACGCGTGGCAAAGCCAGCAGTCAAGTCCTCAGCACAGCCAGCCATGGATATTAGGCGCGAACAGAATTCCACATATGCCTGCGAGCAGCACTGCTAAGTTCAAAGCGTGCATTGCCCCCTTGCAAAAGACAAGGGTGATACAATGTACACCATGTTCTATCTGACAATCACTTGGCTGTGGGTGAAACATAGGTACCCAAATTGAATCCTGGCAACAAAGACACATGGACAACACCCGCGGTCCCGTGCGTGGTTTAAGTTCGACCCATACCGACTTGGTCACTGCCTGCAGTTCAGCCAGCAACTGCCCGCCGAGTTGCAAGCCATAACCTCGGGCATCCAAACAGTCGGCGATGAGCCCTATGCCGGGGATGTTCTGAACCGGCCAATCCTGCGAAATACGCAAATCTCTGCTTGAATTGCCAGTTCTTAACATGACCTGATAAACGGGGATCCATGTCCCGAGGGGTGGCTGTTTTTCCAAATGGCTAAGATCTGGGTTTGAGTCTATCTTTGGGGAGGACATGGAACCCTGGACAAAACCGGACAAAACCGGGGGCCATGCTCTTGCCTGCTGCGCAATGTGTGTGCCACGTGTCTGCGTGTGTGTGTGTGTGTGTGTGTGTGTGTGTGGGTGCGTGTGTGGGTGGGTGGGTGCGTGCGTGCGTGCGTGCGTGCGTGCGTGCGTGCGCGCGGTGGTTGTTTCTTGTTTGGTTGCTTTCTTGCTTGCTCGCTCGCTTAGTTTTGATGTCCTTTTTCTGATGTTCGTTCGTCCGTCCGTCTGCCTGTCTGCCTGCATCTGTTGTTTGTTTCACGGTTGCTTTTAGTGCTTGCTTGCTTGCTTGCTCGCTCGCGCGTCCTGCCGTCCCTCTTTCTGCCTGCCTCCCTCTGTTGGCCTTTTTTTATTTGGTTGATTAGTTGTTTGTTTGTACTTTGTGTTTATTGCTTGCTTGCTTGATGACTAGCTCGCTGGCTTGCTTGTTTCAGGTGTGTTAGTTTGACATAGTGTTTGTTTGCTCGTCCGTGGGTCCTTCTGTCCGTCTGCCTGTCTGCTTGCCTCTGCTTGTTTGTTTGTTTGTTTGTCTGTATGTCTGTTTCAAAGATTGCTTCAACTTGCCTGCTCGCTCGCTCGCTCGCTCTCTCGTTTTTGTTGATTTGATATACTGTTTTTTGTTCGTTCGTCCCTCCGTCCGTCCGTCTGCCTGCCCGTCTGCCCGCCTCTAGCTGTTGTTGTCTGTCGGTCTGTCTCTGTCTGTCTGCGTGTCTGTTTGTACATTTGCTTCATTGCTTGCTTGCTTGCTTGCTCGCTCACTTACTTGTTTTGGTGTTTGCTTGATACAATAGTGTGCTTTGTTCGTCTCGCCCGTCCGTCCATCCGTCCGTCTGCCTGCCTCGTTCTGGTTGTTTGCTTGTTTGCTCGTTGCTGTTTTTTTTGTTTGTTTGTTTGTTTGTTTGTGCTGTTTTGTTTTGCTTTGTTTTAGCTTGGTTGGGCTGCGTTGCTCGTTCGTTTATTTCTTTGTTTGTGTGTTTGTTCGTTTAGCACTTTGTCTTTGTTTGTGTTTGATTGTTGTTTGCAAGCTTTTTGCGTGTCTGCTTCTTGTTTGTTTAAGTGCTTGCTTGCTTGCTTGCCTGCGCGATTGCTTGATTGCTTGCTTGCTTGCTTGCTTGCTTGCTTTCTTTCTTGCTTGCTTGCTTGCTTGCTTGCTTGCTTGCTTGCTTGCTTGCTTGCTTGCTTGCTTGCTGACTTGCTTGCTTGCTTGCTTGCTTGCTTGCTTGCTTGCTTGCTTGCTTGCTTGCTCTCTTGGAATGTGTTTTCTGTCATTGTGTTGTTTTTTGTTCGTCTTCCTGTGAGCCTGTCTTTCTGTGTATTTCTCTGATTGCCTTTTGTTGCTTGCTTCTTGCTTTTTGTTTATTGCACACGTTCTCTCTTTTCTGATTTGTTAACTTTTTCGTGATGTCTTTCTTTCGGAATTGTACTTCTGTTTCTTTATTTCCCTCTTTATTGAGTGGTGCCTTTGTTTGTGTGTTTGTTTGTTTGTTTGTTTGCTTGTTTTTGTTTGTTTGTTTTTGTTTGTATGCTCGGGTGTGTGCATGGTGGTGTCGGTGTTCTGCGATGTTTGTTTGTCTGTGTGTGTGCCTTCGTCCGGAGTGTGGGCGTGGGTGCGCATTGTTGAGGGAGCCTTTTTTGGGGGTTTGGAAGGCTTGGGGCGGCCTGTAGAGAAACCCAACATGAACATATTCACACATTCTGCGCACTCTGGGCTTTCCAACTCCGCGTAGGAGCCATAGCTGTCAACGTTTCTGGTGGAAGTTCGCGTCAACGCAAATCCGGCCATAGGATTACGAGAGCGCCGTCGGGTTTGCGCATGTCGTCCACAGGCTTTGTGCCCGGCTGTGGCCTTGTGTTGAAGCCTTTTGCTCCTTGGACTTTGTGATATTTGTGAGCGAGCTTGCGCTGGCATTGGCAAGTCCGTACCTCATTATGTACAATATTTGTTCAGCCATTAAGCCGATCAATTGTGTGTTTGCGTCAGAATTGTCAGCGACAAAACGCCCCAAAGGAAACAACAAGCCAAGAAGTCAACATGGCAACGCAAAGGTCCTCAGCATCAGCGCAGCCCTGGCATGAGACACGCTTTCTCGAATCTCTGGCCAAGCCGAAACCTTTCCTCCCCGTTTCCTGCGGTTGATGGATGAAATCCTGCACCAGCTCTGCCAACTGCCACAACTAAACAAACCTCATACCCCGCTCTCCCTTTTTAATGTTGTTGGCATTCACACAAGGTGGCGCAGGATTTCGGCCAATCCAACATGTTTGGAAGCCAGAGGCCCAAAAAACCCAATGCTAAATCGGGAGCAGGAGGGATTTTGACCGCCGGCTTGTTGGCTCAATGACATCAGGCCAAACATATCAAGCAACCAGACCCATCTCCCGCCTGGCAGGTGCGAGGGCACCACTCCGGTGCAGGGTCCTCACTGACTTCGGAGGAAAGCTCTGACTTTGAAAGGGAAGGGGCACAAAACCAAAACCTTTCCAGGGAAACAACTCCTATCTGAACAGCGGATTTTTCCTCGTGGCTTCCTTTTAATCGATCGCCAAGCATGCTTTTGTTACGTGCCCGAAACGTGCTCTCATGTTCATGGACACATTTGCACGCAAAAACCCACACCGATACACACAAACACACAAACACAACAGCCACCCACGCACCCACACACGCACACACACCTTTGTACACACAATCAGTCAGCGAGCGGCTATCACTTCGCAGCCGCAGCTTTCCGGGCACAGCCACGCAAGGCCCCGGAAGTCGGCAGAACCTGGGGAGAGGAGCCTGAGGCTCTTGCAATAAGTAGGGCACTGAGGCCTTTCTGCAATCGAGATGGATCCTCTGAAACCCCAGTGCTCCGTACCCCAGAGTGCCTTGTGCAAGTGCAGTTTGCTGCAAACTATCAACTATGCAAGCTAAAGCTGCAGCCTATCCCTGGCCGAGAACGGCTCGCAAGTCGAATCGTTTCCTTCGCTGCTCTGCTCCCATCTGAATCTGAATCTGACACCTGGTGGTACCCATGGTTCTGCTGCGAGCACATTAACAGGGCCAATTTCTCCGACCACCATGATTCGAGATTACTTTCTCAGAACATAATCCCGTGCCGTGCGGGCAATCATGTTTGATTGGACCAGAAACTGTTTGCTAAAAGTATGCCAAACATTCATCCAAACCAATTAAACTCTCTCACTTCATAAGAAACAAACCCAACCCCCCGGAATCTGTAAGTCAGCAAATGCCTTCCCTATGCTTGCCACCCACCCACCAGCCGCCTGCGCAATAGTCATACTGTAGAACTATCGGATCCTGGCTGTTGCCGCGGAGGCCTGCGCACATGTCCACGACTGCTGGAGGGTGCTACGGACGTTCAAGATTGAAAAAATCATCACCAAATTTGGCCAGGAACTCTGGCACCGCTTGACTTGGGGAAGCGGACTCTGTTTTTGTTGCCAGCCTCTTTCAGCATCACTTAAAGCACACGCAAGGAAGTTAGGCAGCAAGTCTTCGGTAAGGCAACTAGATATGGGCTAAACCCATAATGGCTCAGCGGAGCCGTTAGCACGACGCCCTCAGTGGGCCATTGTCGCGATCGAACATTGCAGCCCTTCAGCCATGATAACTCCCTCATGCTCTAAACATCGGACATTAAGGAAAGTCGTCTTTAGCCATCAACCACGTTCAAGAAAAGCTTTGCCCTCGTGGAACCTGTGAAAGCTTCAGCCTGCCTGCTTGTGCCATGCTAGCTGCATGTTCTCGCTGGATTTATGACACTACATTCTATCTTCGTCTAAAAGGCGACTGGCAAGCAGACCGGTGCGCCCTACGCTCTGGCAAGTACAGCGCCGCTAACATTGAACATATCTCTCTTCACCTTGCCTCTGTGCAATGCAAGCTGACATTGCAACTTGTGCACTCTTGATTAAAAAAGGCTCCTGCAGGCCATTCAACTTGGGGTACTCTGTTGATACAAGCAGTCTGTCAATACTTCATGGTGTATGAGGTCTGACCACGAAACCCCTTAGCTTGGTTCTGTTGCTCCGTACACTTGTGCAACTATGTCGCATTGGAGTGTGCCTGCTGCACATGCAGGTAACACTAATCAAGTCAGTCATGTATAGGAAATTCGAGCAGGATGCCTTCACAAAGACGATGCCCATGGACCAAACACAAAACAAGGGTTGGGCCTGCCATACTCAGGTCACAAAATGGTCAAGACAGCATCGACTGTCCTGAATTTGTTGGCTCGCATCCTGGAACACTGTGCAAAAAACTCAATCATGTCGCACGTGAGTCTCAATCAAAACCCGGTACACAAACGGTGAACCCAGAACCATGTAAAGGATTAAGCAGGCGGCCGCAGCCATTTATGGTTGGGGTCGTCCCTTATTAACCTTCATCTACCCGGGTTTTGATTGTGGCTTACGTCCCACTAGTCACCACGATGCTTCGAGCTTGTACTATCCACACAAACCCTTCTGATTCTGGCGCAATCCCGTGCATGCTAAACCTGGACTGCCCACTGCCTTCCAGTGCCCTCGCGGTCACGGCCTCGGCATCCTTCGCTGGTCATATTCTGCACCCGTTCTTGAACCCACTGAGGAGCCTCTGTCCTGCACGTGTCTGTTGGGCGATGAGCCTGTCGTTTGGCTTCCACGACAGCCAGGGCGCATCGGAACTTGAATTCTTCCATTTGCTTAAGCCCCCCGGAAAAAAAATGAAATATTTCCAGTAGTGATAAATTATCTTTCAAACCAAAAAGGGAAAATAAAAACATATTCTTAAGCAAATGGAAGAATTTGAGGCGCAAAATACACTTTGCCTTGATTTGCCTGATTTGGTCTCTGTCGTAGATTTGTACTGGCTGGAGCTGCCTCCACTCTGTGATCGCGAACGCCCAGCCAAATTGCCCTAAACCAAGTGACGATGACTTTGCGCATGACAAGGTGCCTGTAGAGGAATGCCAGCACTACGAGGTACGTCTTCCAAAAGGACCTTGGCAAAGCGAGAAAACCAATTGGCCTGCCCAAGGCAACCTAGGCCCCCAAATCACCAAATACAGAAACTGAGAGACTCGGCATTTGAGCGCCTGCGCGGAGCAATCCTTTTCGGTAAATCACGCCAGACTGAGAATTGGCTGGGTACAACGGGGGATCCAGATCCTGATTCCAGCTTTCATGCACGGCTGTTTGATGCCTGTCTAATGCCCGACGGCCATCCTTGAAGTTTGCTTGTGAAGCAGGAATAATTGGAGATATTGGAGAAAATAAGTCCAACGGGCTAAACATATCTCCAGAAACCCGCGAGAGGTGGGACACTCACAGACACCCACACACACACACACACCACACACCCACACACAAACATACACACACAACAAAACAACAACCTTGAAGAAAACAACATCTGGTGGCACAGGCCTGTCAATACCTGATATACGACAAGTGCCGCAAAATCTGACCAGGGCCAATGTTGGCAACCTCAAACAGCTTCCCGGAGGCCTGTCGCCTCTTTGCTTGCAGCCACGAGTCGTCCATGCGTGGGCGAAACCAGGTGAAGTCATATCCAGATCCTGTTCGAAGCACGCAGAACACCTTTGCTGACTTCCTGCATTGTGACCGATGCCAGGAGGCAGCGACTACACCCACAGCACACTTATCTGGAATGGAACATCTTCTAGGTGAGCAGGCTTGATGGCACTTGCATGCACTTGCAGATATTCAAACGTGCTTCTCTTTACCTACTCGGGACTTGAGAGTGGTCCCCAGCCACGACCAAGCCAACGGGCCCACAGGCCCGGGCCCCACTTCCGGCAAGTGAAGCCCCATGTCCAGTGCTAGTCTTACACAGCCCTCTAAACCCAGAAGCAGTTGCATTAAACATCAAACCGACTCCACTTTGCATGCCTTTCTTGCCAAAATGTGAAGGTGGGCAGCGAGCCTGAACACCTCGTGAATTGAGCTCATCTTGGCTACCCGCATGCCAAGACCCTGCCTGGCAAGGCCGCTTTTGCATATCCTCGCGAAGTTTCGAGGTGCACCCATTGGGGCAGCCATGCCTTGGAACCTCGCAAATGCCAGGGAGCGCTTGTAACGGCCTGTTGACCTGGGTTTCCACGATTTGTGGAGACTTGGCATGGCCCAGTCCAAGCATAGGATTGGCAGCAGCTCTGCAACAGGATTGCATTGCTTGAATAATGGCCTAGGTAGCTCGCCATGCTCGCCCTGTTTTTAAGCACATTGAAAGGCAACGAGCCCCAAAAAGCTTTGTGACGAGGCCAAAGGCAAAGTCAGGGTACGAACCAGCAAACCGCCGATCAAGGAGGAACATTTGTTTGTAAGTTCTGCCTCCGCGATTGTGTTGGGCGGGTCAAGCAGCTTGATCAAAAGGCAGCAGGGGTTTGTTAGGTGCGTAGGTTGCCCGTGCATCCGAGAGGCCCTGAACCAGGCATCACTGTAGGGTGAGTCGCAACCACAGGTTCGGGCGCACATATTCTTCAGCAAACCTGAGATGTGGAAGGCTTTTCTTCACCCCGCCGCCTTTCTCTTGCTCGTGCAAGTTGGTCCAAGCCGCGTTTGCCAGAGTCCTCACAGTAGGCACTCATCTCCTGAGATTCTGGGAAAAAAGCGATCACTCACAGAGGACGCAAACAGTTCTGAAAACCATTCAAATTACTACTGTTCCCTCGTGATACGCCATTTCCAAAATCACCAAATCTGACCTCCACCGGCTACTCTCACTACCCAGCTCTCTCGTTCGAACTAGCAACGGCTCAGGGCGAGCTACAAAAGCTGGCACCGGCGGCGAGGTGATGCAGGAACAAAATTGGGGGATCTTGCAATCAGCTCAACGCATGATTCCACGTGAGTCGGACCTGACTGCAAAATCCGTCTGTAAAAGCAAGCTACCTTCTTGCTTTGTTCAAATCTGTGACAATCAGCGGCAACCAAGCTCCTGGAAACAAACATCGATTGGTTTCCTTGAAGCCTCCTGGCACCCCACGCCGGGTTGTGGCCTTGAATGCGTGCAGCTGCCCACCAAAAAGTAAACTTGGAGATTGACGGCAACTCTGTGTGGATCCTGACAGCATGAAGGAACTCCATGGCGCGAGGGATGACAACAAAAACAAAAACAACAACAACATTTGCCGACTGTCCGGCGGCACAAGGTTTTTTGTGGGTTTTGCGTGGGTGTGGGACGGTTCAGGGTTTTTGTGTGGCTTTTGGGTGGGTCTGTTGCCCGGGCCGTGCTTCGTGGTCGGCGCGGGAATAGGTGGGTTTTGTTGGGTATTTGGGGATCTTGTCTGAGTTTCGTGCGGGTGTTGGGACGGGTGTTGCATGGTGTTTGCGTGGGTTTTGTGCAGGTGTTGTATCGGTTTCGTGTGCGCTTTTCCAAGGGTTTTGTGTGGCGTTCGTATGGGCTTTGGGAGGGTTTTGTGTTGGTATTCTGTGGGCTTTGTGGGGGGGGGGGTTGTTTTGGTGTTGGCTGGCTTTTGCATGTGCGTCTTGTGTGGGTTTGCTTTGGTTATTGGATGGGTTTTGGGTCTCCCCACTCCACACCCCACACTCAACACTCCATACTCCAAGACACGCGCATACACACAATCACACACACCCCCCCACCCCCCCACCCCCCACCCGCTCCCCCACCCGCTCCCCCACCCCCAACCCACATTACCCAACACGCAACACGCAAAGCGCAACATGCGACACGCATCCCCACTCCCCACTCCCCCAGCGCCAGCTCAAAGGGCTCCAGGGCAAACATATAATCCACATCAAACATATGAAACCCAGTCATCAAAATCCCACATATTTCAATCGTCCAAATCAAGGGATCATGTCACCACTCATTCCGGCAACCGCAGCAGTCGGCAGAATGAGCCGGAGGCTGTAAAGTACAGAACCTTAGCACGAGGGAGGACCCAAAGAGCCACCGACCCTTTAATTCGTTACACGCTTGCCCCCTAATTCGAATATAGACATTTATTATTTGCATCTATTCTGGGGTTGAATTCCACTCTGGGACAGCCTTAAATACTCGACGCCACCAGCATTGCTATGGCGTTAGTAAAGCCGAAACAGTTGTTACTTTCTTTCTTTTTTTCTTCTGTTGACTAAAAGTAGGTGCTGCGCTGCTGCGTACTTGTTGCCAAAACGGCCCTCCGTACCACTGCTAAATCCAAACAAAAGACCAGGTGGACATTTACTGTCGAAGAAGGTTGATAATGGGCTTGGAATTGGAGCAAAAAGGCCATCGTGACATGTTTGGGTTTGTGCAGTAATTAAGTAGATCTTTAAGCCTAAGGTTCAACTTCGGCTTGCTGTCTTAGACTTGCACATTAAATCTGAGATTCAATCCCCAAGTTGAGTGACACCTGACCAAAACCGTTGTCAACGGAGTCACCCAAAATCACGAACAGCCAAAAGAGCGTCCGCACCTATTCATGTTTTGATTGTTGCTCAGTTGAGCCAAGTAGCTGAGCAATTGCTGTCCGGGCTCATTCCCAGGCTGAGAGACGTGGAGAACCAGCGGGTACGCAATATATCCTGGGCTGTCAAACCAAGTGGGTCCCTTGCCATCATTGTTGGCTTTGCGGTCCGGCAAATTCAAAAGTTAATGCTTGAAAAACATGCAAACTCGGCCACTGCTTCACCCAACTTCCTACATGTGCCGGTGGAGCTTGGGAATTGTCCTTTCGAAGTCCAAGCAAACAAGCGCCGCACCGATCCACCGCGCCTGCAGCTCTTGATAGTCGTCCGCCTCGTTCCGCAGGTATACGCCATCCCAATCCTCAAATGCATTCTGCAAACTCAAACTGGCAAATCGGGCAATACATTCGCCATGGCCACATGCAGCGGTGTTCTAAACCCAATGCTTGCAGCCGAAGAGAAATATCAAGCCCCTTTCGCGAAGCTGTCGCGGCTTGAGAGACTTCTTTCGCGTGAGGTTTTGATGAGGCAAAGGCTTCCGCGGCGTATTCGCGGACTGAGACATGGGGTCGATGTCCGTTTTAGCTTTGGCGGACACAGGACAACTACATGACAACTACAAGTTGCTTGTCTTGCGAAAGTGCGCTAGCTTGAGCTGACTGGAACATGATTGGCGACACGCGGGAACATAGGATCAAGGCAGCATGGTTTAGACTCCGGGCTAAATTCAATCACTGGCAAATTTTGTCGGAATTCCTGGCGAATCGTGAAACTCGGCAAAAGCTTTGCAAAACATGACCCATGAGTGCAAGCAAGGGTCTGCCCTAAGCCCTACCACTTCGCGAACCTTTCGCGAGCTATGCCGTGTATATATATATACATATATATATATATATATGTATCTATATATATATATATTATGTTATCGCTTTCGCGAGCCTGAAAAGCGGCCAAGTTAATTCGGAGAAGGCGAACATGATATTGCCTCGCAAATACAACTTGCAAATCGAGGTTCCGTAAAACACTGCTGTGAAAAGCACGGCTTTCCGACACTCCCACGCCTGATTCTTTGTCGGCACGAGTTCACAGTGCTTAGTATTCGCGCGCATCCGTGAACTTGTCGAATGTGGGCCAACACAAGCCAACGCTGTTGATTCAGACCCCAGTATTTCTGCAACCCCGCATCGCAAGCCCTCTTGCAATCATCTGCGAAAACATTGGTGTTCGCGTGTTTGGCAGAAGAATCGGAAAGCCCTCACTTTTTGTTCCACACTAATTGCATTGACATGGTAAAACCGCAAAATCAAACTTGTCTCGGCCTGAAGCAGCAAGGTCTAGACGAACTGGATGTCTGCGAACCAGCGGAGCAAACCACAAGAAACATGACTTTCTATCTGCGCACACTCGACGGGAATCCTCGCGAAACGATACCATTCCTGTCGCAATCAGCGGTTGGCCCCGAGGAACTGACTTGAAGCGGATGGAAAATATCATTTGACACAAGCCGTCATTCGAAGAGTGCCAACCCCCCCCCGGTTGACCCAACAGCTTGTTTCTTACATGCTAACGACGGTGTATTCTATGATCTGTCTGGATCATCTTCACCAATCATTGTGCGCAATGAGCCTTTCGCACAAACTCATACAAACGCGGCTTTCTGAGTGTTTGCTTTGTCAATTGCCGCCACCAGGGATGCCGTGAGATGTTGTCAATTGGCATGGCCTGCATGATTTTCCGGTTGCAGTCCAGCCTCTATTGCCGGAGAATCTTCTAGATTCTACACTATGTTATGTGACATCTTGCTCAAGAATCAATAGTGTGCACCTAATCTGTAAATCAGGAGCCTTTGCATCCTGGTCAAATGCCATGAACATATTGTAATGAAGAAGCAGTACCTTAATGTTTGCACAGCATAGAGCAAGTACTTGGTTGCAACTCAAGCTTCTTGAGAACAAAACAGGATGTCTACAAAAGTTGGCTTCCTGGAATCATGTGCCACTCATCTGTCAGAAACTGTTTGTTATTTGTAAAACAAACAGCCAACTCATACTGTAAAACGAGGGCCCACGAGACGTCTCTCTCTCTCTCTCTCTTGCTCGCATCGTCATTGTCAATATTCCTTACACTTTGACCTCCGCCAAAGTCTCAGCCAAGGCTCCAAACAATGGTTGTCGACTGAGGCCACTTCTTCCCACTCGTTCGCGATTGAGGTATCAAGGCTTGCACCGTCCTCAGTGGCTCAGCACCAGGCAAACAACCCGGTTCAGGCATTTTTGCCCAGCATTGTTTCGCTCCCAACTAAGCGCGCTCGCACAATGTGAGAGAGCAAACAGCCGATGCATCAACGCAGCACTGACGGAGACACGGTTCAATCTCAAATTGGATGTAGTTCCTTGGCTGTCAGTCCAGTGTTCGCCAGCTGTGTATCTCAAAATGCAATCTGAGTTTTGAGGCCTTCTGCTTGGGTTGTGTGTGACATGATGCAGCGGCAATGCAGTGCCTGATGAAATCGGGGGGCTGCTTTTGGTGAGGATTCCCTTCATGGGGAGAAAGCTGTTGACTCGTGGGCTTGCCGCATCCAACTGATTCAGCCGGGCGGCGATACGGCACCTTCTGGGCTCCATGTCCAATTGCTCACCTCAAAGGACTCTCCCAAACGACTTGAAACAACGCATCTCCTGTCAGTATTACGCATCACGATGGACACTTTTGGACGGCACAGAAGGCAAGAAACCAAGTCTGGCCTGCTATTGTGTGATGCGGCAGTCGTGTTTTTGCATCATTCCAAGCACAGGATTCAATGACACGACACCACCATGCCAAATCGATCGCTCAATAATGACATGTAACACTTGCACCTTCGAACAACACATTCTTTTCTAAATCTGCAGTAGCACCCGCATGCCAGAATACGCAAGACATGCTCCAGACTATGTCATTCCAGTATGACCATCAGTGTGCGCCACACTAGGTTTATGTATATTGTCAAAGGAAGATTAGAAGAAACTTCCGTGGCACGGCGTGTAATTGAACGCTAGCTCTCTGACAGATAACAAGCAAAGCAAAAAAACGGAAACATGCGTGCGCCTGTGGCGGGCACACATAATTGTCCGTTGAACGTTAGCCCATTCGCGACGCCTGGTCGGAGCGCGTTCGGAGCGCTCTCGGAGCCAGGACTGTTGGCACTGACACTGAAGCCATGTGCATGTTTCGTGGCACGCAAAAACAATTTCGTGCGGTCATCAGCACTTTAGTATGGTCGCGCGAAGATTGGGTTGCCAAGGTGGCGGGCGCAGAACTTTCGCAACGTTGGGCGCAGAGCGCGCAAGGTCGTGTAGATTTCGTGGCTGCAAACAAATCACCAGGTCAAGTGCAGATTTCGTAACAGGTGCAGCACTTTCGCACGGTCGCGCGCAGATTGCGCAAGGTCGGGTGTGGACTGCATGGCAGCCACCATTGCGAAAGTGTCAAGTGCAGATCTCGCGGCATGCGCAGCTCCTTCGCACGGTCGCGCGCAGATTGTGCAAGGTTGCGCAGGTGTAGATTCGCGGCAATAATTTTCGTGGCGCGCGCAGAACTTTCGCAAATTCAATTGCAAATTGTGTGGTGCGCGCAGCCCTTTCGCACGGTCATGCGCAGATTTTGTGGCAGGCCCAGCACTTTTGCAGGTCGGGCGCAGATTGCGCAAGGTTTCGTTGCAGGCGCAGCACTTTCGCACCGTTGTGCGAAGATTGCGCAAGGTCACCCACAGGTACCGTGGCCGGCGCAGCACATTCGCACAGATTGAGTGCCAAGGCCGGGTGCAGATTTTGCACGGTGCGGATTTCGTGGCAAGCGCAGAATTTTCGCAAGGTCGGGCGCAAATTGCGCAAGGTCGGGTGTAGACTTCGTGGCAGGCGCAGCACTTTCTTAAGGTCAAGTGCAGGTTTCGTTCCAACCGCAGCACTTTCGCACGGTCGCGCACAGATTGTCCTGGCAGGCCCAGGCCTTTTGCAAGGTCGGGCGCAGATTGCGCAAGGCGCATGTCGTGGCAGACATACTTTCGAACGGTCGTTCAAGGATTGCGCAAGGTCGGGTGTAGATTTCGTGGTAGGCGCATACTTGGATTGGCTGTTTTTTTATAGAGAGTTATGTTAGTTATGTAGAATTAAGATTCATAATATAACAAGTTAACTAGACTTATCGCAATTCGTTCTAACTAGTTATAACTATTTATCTGGCTTTTGATTTCACATACTTTTCGTTGTAGGATGTATTGTGTATTTAAGGCGTGTAAAGATTTTTGTGGATCCCACAAATGCTTCACAAGCCAAAAATTCACTTCCAGCTTTGTGTTTCAGAAAGGAAAGCTCATGTTCAAACCCGCATGGGATAGCCAATTGGCTGCGCATGCAATGGGAACAGCCCGAAGGCTTCATGCAGCAAGGACTGGACTGCAACAGCTATAAGGAGGCTCTACGAAACTTGACAAACTGGAACAGCCTTAAAGGCCTCCGAGAATGGTGGGGCTCTTTTTTATTGGTCAAGCAGCAGAGTACAGTTGGCATGGCAGCAAGACTTTGGCTTCGCCTTGGCCTCGCAAGTGGGCAAATGATTGTCGAAGCTGGAATCAACCCTTGGAGTGCCGAGACCCGGCATGTGGCATGCTGCTGGTCCAACTTTTTCACGTGGTCCCAGACCTGGACCATGGTCGCTTTCTCTTGCAAGAGCTCCACATGGAACAGCACCTGGGCCACTTGCCAGCTTTGGCTGGTTCCATAAGCGACCACATCGCCTCCATGGACCTGGGCACCATGGGCCAAGCGAAGGCAGCTGGCTAGCTTTGCCGACTGCAGCTGGCCTTGGACAAACTGGGCCAACATCGCCAGCTCTTTGGGCGTAGCTGGCCTGGACTTCAAGAAAACGACAGTTTCTGGAAACAGGCCTGGCTCTTGAAGGGTGGCTATCTCCTTGGCCAGGACTTGTTGGAGCAAGTTGGTCTCGAAGTCCTTGGTGTTCTGGAGCTTGGTGGCTAAGCCGCCAATGCCCTTGTGCTTCCTTTCTGGAGCGAAGCAATTGGGCAGGTGGCCAAGCCGCTCCAGGATGTCAGGCATATGGAGGAGCCAATGCCACTTGGGTATCAGTTTCCCCAAACCCGGCAGCTTGGTACGACTGGATGGCTTCCTCGCATGCCTGGAGCAAGCTGCTTCTGGTTGTAGCTCCACTTTGGGCTCCTCCGTGGATCTGGTCGATGAGAGTGGCCATGGCCAGCTGAGCCTCTGGTTGTTCTTGTGCTTTTGGACTTGCTTTTGGCTGAAGATGGCCTCCAAGTTGCCAGCTCTGGTGGCTTTTGGCTGCTTCCAGTGTGGGAAAGCTTGGCGAAGAAACTCCCACACCTGGAAGCCTTCTGTCTGGAAAGCCTCCAGGGTGTGGTACACCACAACTGGTGCCACTCCTTGGAGGACTCCGTGCATATAATCGTGACAAAATTGGCTCACTGGTCGTATTACTTCTCTGGCTCTCAAGGTGGGGTGCAGCAACAAGGCAAATTTGGACCAGGTGAGTCCTGTGGCCTGCTGCCAAATCTGGAAGTCTTTCTTGGAGCAGGTGGCCCTCCTGGCATCCAGTCTCTGGTAGCTGTCAAGGAGCTCCTGGTCTGTCACAAGCCTCAACTGGTCGTACCTTGTGGTGCTGGTGTACTGGCCCTCCTGGTCCTCGTGATCTTTGGCTGCGAAGCTGCGGACGTTGGCACAAAGGGCAACCACACCTGCTTGTGGGCCTGGGCGGCGTTGCCGCTTGGGTCCTTAAGCAAGAACCCACCCAGTGGCTCCACCAATGGGTCCAAAAAGATGGACTCCAGGACCAGTTGGGAAACCCCTGCGTCCAAAGTGGCCACCACACTGGATCTGCAGACGCACATAGTGAGCCAGAGGTCCTCGTGGCAAAGCTGGTGCTTGAAGTCGTCCATGGTGGCATACAGTGCCCAGCACTTGCGTTCTGCCCTTCCTAGCACACTGCCTGGTATGATTTCATCTGCATACAAAGTCAATCCCCATGGCCGCTCTGGGCTGGATGGGCATTTCTGGTGCTTGGACAGAAGCAGCTCGTGGAAACTGCCTTGTTGGTGGAAGAGCTGGCTCAGGTTGACCAGGAAGCTGCAGTGTGGAACCCTTACCTGGTTTCCATCTGCTTTGGTCAAGGTGCCTTCCCTGATCAATGGGCCCAAGGCTCCACCATGGAAGCTGGCCAGCAGTTGCTGTCTCGCTTCTCTTGGCTTCGAGCTGGAAACTTCTGGCAACCCATGGGCTTCAATTTCTTTAACAATGGCTTCGAGGAGAGCTTGGGAATGCGCAGGTAGTCTGCTTTGGAATTTGAGCAGTCTGCTCAATTTGGCTCTCTTGGTGGTCGGCTGGGCCACGTCATGGCTGGAGCTCATGGTCCAGTGGAGAAAGCTGGTTATCTGGAAACATGCAAGGCTGGACTGTGCAGCACACATTCAAGTTTGTTTTGGCTTTACAATATTTTGAATCTTTATGGTGCATATGCCATGAAACGTTGAAGCATCGATGTGTACTTTCGTTTGCAAGCTTAAGGCTCAAGCTTAAGGCTCGGAACGAATTTTGTAGCTGATAATTGTATAAAGCTATTGCTATAAAGGGTTTAGCCACTTGCAGCTGGTGGGTGCACGTGCCGCATATGGGCATGCTAAAGTCCACGGGTCGGTCGATTGGACATACTGGGATTACCCAGCAAAAGCCAAGCATGCAACATGGGACTGCCATCGCAGGCACGACAATCAGAATCCAAGCATGGCACTGCCACTACAGGCACGGCAACGAAGACCATGGGCAATCAGCTTGAGTCTTTTTTACTACTGCATGGCTCTGGTCCCCAGCATGCATTGTGCTTGGCATCACTTTCTGGCTGCCATGTGGGCTCTCCACCGTTCACGCCCATGGAGTCTCACTCCTTGGTACGTGGGCGACCTACACGTGCGACATCCTTTGACGTTCCCACGACAGCGCGGGCAGCCGTAGAGAAGAGCCCCAGCCTGGCCTTTGGCCTTCTTCTTGGCAGTGGCTTTGGCCTTTGGCTTCGGTCCAGGCTTACCCTTGGCTTTCGCCTTGGGTGTCGGCTTGGCCTTGCCTTTAGCTTTGGCCTTGGCTTGGATCTTTGGCTTGGGCTTGGTCTGGGTGTCAGCCGGCTCAGCTGGCTCTCGCCTTTTCCCCTTCCTCTTCTTCAACTGGTTGAAAGTCTGGCGTCGAGGGGGCTTCTCTCCACCTCGCTGGCAGCAGGCTGGGCTCCTCCAGTGGTTGCCTCTGTGGCTGGCTGAGTGGCAGCCTTCGCTGACACTGTAGCTGAAGAAGCAGCTTGGTCAGCCGACTGGTGCCCTGCAGAACCTTCAGGGTTTTCGAAAGGCAGTGCCTGGCCAGACCCGCGGGTGGAGAAGGGAAAAGCCAGCTGCTGCCCTGCGCTGGCCTGGCTCGCAAACTTCTGGTCGGGAGGCTGCAGGAAATGGATCTGCGGCTGCTCGGGCCGAAGCACTTGGGCGAAACGGCCCAGCAGCCCGTTCAGCAGGAGGTTTACATCCGCAGCGCCTACGTCAGCTTGGACAGCTTTAGCTTGGGCCTGTGGTGTCGCAACTGGTCGTGCTTCCTG